ATACAAATGATGTTGGATTTTCGAGGCTTGTTGATCCATATTTAAGTACTACAACAATAGATTATCGTCCAATGCAGTTTTTAAAATATGATAACATTACTTTTTGGAACTGGGATTCACATAAGCACATATCGCTTCCCAAGTATCAACAATCATCAAGAGCTGCACTACCACCTATCAAAAAGGTTCCATACAGATTATATTCATCTGAGATGGCTTCTCAGTACTAACAACATGACGCACTGTCACTGTTGTTGAAAATGTATAATTTCTAAACAGTGGCACACTAAACACGATGTAGCAATAAAATAGATGCAAACAACATTGCCATCATTGCAGTTTACTAAAATATCACATTTCTGTTCTCGATGGCTTACTTATATATTCACAAATGAAATATTCCCGCAGCTGTTTTATCGAATGGAATGACACAAAACTTTATGAGTCAAAACATTAAACCACACATTCTCCTCAGTGCTGTCAACATCTGTAAGTGTTTCTAAATGGGCGTATGTCATTGCAGTCGTTACACTCAAAACTAATATCTATGCAAACTTTGGTTGATGCTGAGGTCCAATTAGAAGATTAAGGCTGTGTTCCAATTGGATAATTTTTACTTGGATTTGACTTATCATTCATTTTTAGATAACCCTGCTATCCCAGCGTATCAACATACTGTTCACAGACAAGCACTTAAATTTTGTCAATCGATCAAAAACAGAGAAGTTGTCGACCATATTAAAGACAATTCGAAGCGTTTTATTTCAGTGTGTTTTTAATCGTAGTGGTAGTATCCCTTAGAACCTTGCTAATCCCGATCGAGCACTTGGTTCCAGAGATATGACCAAAGAAGTGAAAATTATTCCAACTATATTTATGTATAGGGCTTTGCACGAGAAAGCAATGTGTCACCATTGATATGAGTACTCAGTACTGACATATTTGATACATGTATAGGGAAGTTGGGAAGCGGAGCAAATTTCCAACACGACAAGATGCTCAAAGAGACGGAGAATGTAGCCGCGAATCTTCTTCAGTATTTTGTGTGCAACTCTTTTTTACGGGCAGTGCTACAAAATTTCGATCATGCATGACATTGAAAAGACAGTTTTCGTCACTCACAAAATCTATACATGATTTTTATCGGATACCATGGCAATTGTCGGTGACAAACATGTGAAGTTTTTGTTATTAGCTTAATTTGTAACGATATTTATTATTTTAATTATTCAGAATTCACTATTCAAAATTCACGATATTTCACGATATTTAGCGATATTTTTAGTCTATTTAATATATATGTTTTTAGCAATACTATTCTCGCATAAACCAATATTTGGCTTGTGGATACATTGTATTTCAGGGCATCTATTGACCAAATTCGAGTGCTCTAAGACATTTCCGAAGCCGAAGCCGACATTTCTCTTATGCAATTTATATATTACATATTCTTTTATACATGGGATCCCCAACAAACAATTTAAGCTGCAGAATAGCTTATGTGGGCAAAAACTAGCTTATACAGCTAATTTTTGTCTGGGTAAGCTAGCCTGCAGCTAAAATTATTTGTTGGATCGAAGTAGGCTCTGCTAGTGGACTAATCGGTTTGCTAGCGCTGTTAATCTTGTTACCGTTGAGTTATTGTGTCCATGATTTTAATATGTGCATGTTGTATAGAAACTGTAGTATTTTTCAAGTCTGTGTAGGGTTAGTAGCATTTGTAGAATAGCTAGATAAATTATTGTAAAGTAAAAATGTTAATGCTTTTTGTTAGTTGGATTAGTCAGAAATTGATGTACATTTATAAAGTAAATTGGGTCATTTGGGTGAAACAAGACCGAAAGGGTGTAAAAACTCAACTGTGGTAGGAAAAAACCATGGAATAAGGAGTTGGATATGGATGGGTAGTGATAAACCACAAGGAAGGAAAATGGAGGAAATAAAGAGCGAATTGAAAATGGATTGGAAAACGTGGGCAGACTGACAACTAGGATAGTCGACCATTGCTCATAAGTAATCCGGCGTACGTGTGTACGTGTTCAGGTAACTATTTTGTAGAAACTGCGACATTGGCTGTGGCCACAATTTGTCCTTCAGGACCTTTTTTGATTCTCGTTTATAAATTATACTCACGATCGACACGTTCTGGGAAAATTAGTCAACGCTGCCTTGGTCTAACCGTCAAGGACCTTCTAATCTAAGGCTTAGAACCTGCTGAATGATAGTTTCCTCGGACAAAGTCCAAATCATTAAGGAGGAATTACCCTCCTCGGTCTGGCCAATACGGTCTCGTCCGTGATCCACCGATCTCGTCAATGAAGGAGGACGCCGTTGACCCAGTATAGCTGTATTACCTGGTTGTGAACCACCATTGCAACACGCCAACCCAAGCCCAAGATCCGCCTTTTCAACACCGATCAAGTTGTCAGTCGCCATCACGACGAAACAATCGAAGCCACGGAAGCCGGTCAACCAACAACGCCGATCACCAAGCAACCACCATCCGCGAGCGCTCGCCATCATGCAACAACAACACCACCGGTACGTACCAAAGCAGCAGAAACCACACAATACACCCCGCAATAACCCAATAAACTTTGAATACACCCAATAGTTCAGCTTCTTAACAAATATTTTGACATTTGCAACCCACACGTTTGAACTTCCCATTTAGTTATTTCATATTGAATAAATTAAAATTCCACGTTCCACGTGCCCCTCCAAATTACCCAGTAGCATGCCGGCCATGTGACTCAGTTCAGGGGTCTCGTGCTACTGAGCTAGTTATCCGGGAGTCTTGGTCGACCGGAGTAAGTCTCTTCTAGGCTCAATCTTTTACATATAATTCAAACGAATCTTTTTCTTATAGCCGGTGTGAAAAGTGTGATCTGTGAAAAATATTACGATGATTCCTTGATTCTTCGGATCGTTTTGGAAGCTGCGAAGTGATTTTTCTTAATGGTTCAGATGAGAAGAGCACAGGGGGTTCGACTATAGACTACATTCGGGAGTCGGGAGCTGTATGATGAAGACGAAGCGTCTGGCGGAGGAAAACAGACATAAGCGAAAGGGCTACCGAAGATAATCATGATGGAGTGAATCTAGCGGATCAACGGGCAAGGGAACTCGGTTCTTTTTTAAGGAGTTGTGATATGTTCAATATTTTATATACCATTTGTTTATTATTATAAATTAAATTGATTTTTACATAACACGTATGTCCACTAGGGTGGGTCAAGTTTATATGGTGGATTAGAATACCCTGCTCCCCACTGTTTTTTTTTAAAATCTGTATTGATAATTGATATTGATATTGAGATATTGAGATCTGTAATTTTGTCACTACATACAATTGCAAGTAGAGGTAGAGCAGTAGAGATTTTTAATTTTCTTGATCAAGGCTATCACTGTTGACCAACTATCACTGACAGACCACAGTTACTGATAGGTGTCTTACTACAAGTGGTAGTTCTATGTCCAGTCACATCCATAGACAGCTCCCAATGGTAATCCAGCATTGCTTATTTCAAAATCGTTGCTAATCATAAAATCTAATATCTAATGACCATGCGTTTTCCGCAACCCATGATTCATCTGGTAACTGACAGCAATGCTGATCCCTCAATTAGCCATCATTAGCCCGTCATACAAATTCTGAATTACAGTCAACTCTGCATTTATCCATGTTCTATCTCTTGGTATTTCTCCCTATCTCTATGATTTTCTCAGTCCATTCAGATTCCCATACAACCCCAGCTGGACCCTACCTATCGACCCCACCTCCTCAACTGGAGAGTTAACTGTATTCGGAAACAAATTACTCGCAATATTTCGATGGAAAAATCTAGTTCACTAGTTTTTTTCTGCGTTTGAAAATCTAGTTCACTAGCTTTTTTCTGCGTTTGAAATAAGTTTTGCTCTGGAAACACGACAGAGATGTAAACTATTTGAACTCGAAATGCCTCTAGAATCGTACTGATTAAATACTGTCTTGAATGTCTACATATCCCTATCTCGATATCAAGATGCTCCGAGATTGAAAAGTTCGTTTGATTGAGACCCCTGAGTCATAACAGACGTGAAATTCAGCTCAATCAAAGGAAATTTTCAGTCTCTCTTAGCTTAGCAAGCAACACCATGCTGGAGGCGGCTAGGTTCGATCCCCGGTTTGATCAAGGAATTTTTCGGGTTGAACAATTTCTCGACTTCCCTGGGCATTGGTATGATTTTATTTATAACTATACTAATTCCAAAATGATGAAGGCTTAGAAAGCTCTCAGTTAACAATTGTGGAAGTGCTCAAAAACACTAAGTACAGGGCCAGCGTAATGATTCACTGGAAACGTAATAGAGCCAAATAAGAAGAAAAAGAAGAAGACGACAATTTATGTCAAAATTGACACTCGTATATGTCAACTAAATAGCATCAGATTGCGAGATTGCTAGTGTAGATGGATGCTTTGTTGGTTATTTATGAGCTCTTGAACGCTGCAATATTTGAGGTGGACCACAAGTTGAGCAACCAGGATAACGCCTAAGCTTTCAACATTTATATCGCTGTGAAGCAACTGTAAACTGTAGAGGGACAATTTATATCTATAACTGTATCACCAGTTCGTTTTTGTTTGATAATCTGGTTAAGATGCCATACTTAATTATCTTAAAGATAAATCATCCAGGAGTAGGGGTAAGAGATCGGGCCATCATCATCGTCATCATCATTATAAAATATCACTGCCAAATTGTAAAAAAAATCACATTTTAAGATCCAGGGGCGTTCATTCATTTCGGTACAGTCCATAAAAATATATATAACTTTCTCCAAGTATGTCACACAAAAAACGTAATCAACATTACACAAGTGCAAATATACATAAATCATGTTTGAACAACAAAAATAACGACTGAGAACATTGGTGCATGCGCGCGCAACATTCTACACATACGCAAAGAAGCGTTACCGCATGATCTCTGGTCAGGCCGATCACAAACGCCAGTCAGTTTTGCGATCTCGTCGGGTAAAGTCAAATTCAAGATAGATAGTAAGTACTAGAACGCCGAATTCTAAAAATAAAAAGTGTGTGCTATTTGAAGAATATAGTGTATTTGGTCATCATTGAGCTGGAAAAGCCAGCATTGATTTCGGGAAAAGTGTTGCGAATGCTGTTGATGAGCATTGGGAACACACTTTGAAAATAATCTCTTTGTGCACATGTGAAAAAGTAATCTGAAGAAAAAAGCCGTATCGAAAATGGTGAAATCGTGATGTGTGAAGTTCGAGGTTATGTAATGTAATGAAATATAAATGGTGAAAAATTCGAAATTTAATTGATCATGATTTAGTTAGAAAAAATGTAATGAAAAGCCATGGTTTTAAGTAATTGAGATTTGATTGTGTATTTGAACTATGGCAGTTGATAAAAAGTCAAGTTAATAAAGAAAGGCGCCACATCAATGAGTGCAGTTGTGATAATAAATAGCATGGCACCACGTTCAACCACAATGTGAAGCAAAACGAATAATTTTCAAAAAATATCACAAGGTGACAAAGTCGTCAGACGTTAAACTTAGCTTTATTCTGCTATTCAACCCAAAAATAGAAAGAATAACACGAGAAAATATTAGGGTATTTTTGTCACTCGAAGCAAAAAGGTGGTTCATTTGCATTATGTTCGGTTCGGAGCATATTCGAAGAAAAGTGCTTTAGTTATCTTGGGAAGGTGTTAGCAAGTGCCATCGCATTTTGAAGCAAAAAAATAAGTTAATTATTGTAGAAAACATTGCCTTGGGGAAGAAATATTTTGATCCTAAATTGTAACATGTGGATAAGGTGAATGATGTCATGGCAATAAAAAGATTAATTGGCGCACAGTTGAAATTTAAATTAAAGGATAACAGTCCTGTGGTGATTTATTATAGTGAATTGAAGTATTTTATTCAGTGCGTGATGTGTCTTGCAGCTTACAAAATGAAGAGTTGATAGCAAAGAAACCAGAGTGAATGACGTAGTTGCGAACTGCGAAACGTTCTATTTTTAACAACTTTCAACACAAATATACTTTTCCAGATTTGTGTCAGAACGTATAAATAACTCTTCGAATAAATGACGTCACTCGTCAATTTATATATATAAACAGCGCGTGAAACACAAATCACAGATACTTCTTTTTTGAAATTTGTTGCAGCTAAGAAATGAGTGAAATGTTCACGGTGGACGAATAGCAACCAATAGAAATTTAACTATCAAGTATGTCTGGTCCACCAAATATTAACAACGGCGCTTCAGGAGGTAGTGGTCGTGGATGGCTTCGTACACCACCGCCAACTTATTTTCGATCACCATCACCTTGGGTACCTCCTGGATCAACACCTGCCACGAGACAACAGCTTCCGTCGACAACCGGTGGCTTTGAACCACAGGCTTTTGCACGGTACAATGCATCGCCTACATACCTACCTCAACCTGTCTATAGATATGAATCTGTAGAGACTAGTGAAACTCAAAACCAAAGAGCGACAAGTATCAGATGCACCAATGGTGCTTTGCAAAATGAGACACAGAATCAGAATCTGCACAGCGTTCGAACAACTCCAATACCGGAACGTCACATCAATGAGACGAGTTCTATTACTCAACAAACACAGTTGAGGAATACCTCTTATACACACCAATATTCCGGCTCGATACCATCTGCAGTCAAAAATGTAATGCTACCACCGCAACGGATGTATTCTGCGACACCAACTCATCAACTGGAATCCAACTTCCAACGACCGCAATCAAGAGGACAGCCTGTTCGCTACCCTACACCGTCTTTTTCATACCAATCTATCTCCGACAATTCATACAGTAATCAACCGCAATACGTAATCTATGATTGTACTGGAGAAGCTGGCCCATCAACCGCTGAAATCATAGCGAATCAGTCTCAAGATTACGTAGATGAAAAATTGGCAGAATATCAAGCTACAATACATTTATTGCAAGGTAGGTAAATTTAATCAACTGTATATAAATTAACGTATGGTCACAGACAAACAGACGTAACTCTTTGAAAAACTTGTTCTTGAAAACATAGTATCTCAAAACATATATTTAACCTCAGTAGCGACATCTCTCTGGCTTCTCGCGGAAAACAAGCTTGCTCGCTAACTCGTAAACAATATTGCATAAAAGTTCTATAGAATATATAGAAACGTCAAAGTGATTCGATGCCAGCGCTGCGGCGAGTAGTTCGCGGAACTGATAATATTCAAATCAACCGTTAAATGCATGAACGAAGATACACAATGAAGAGTTACGTCTGTTTGTCTGTGGTATGGTATAAGTAACACTATTGAACCATTATGTGAATAAGGGTTACGTTGAAACTCCTTTAAAACATACATACTTACCTTTTACCTATCATAAAATTGAGTAATGCAAAAATACGAAACAATAAATTTTCACAGTACATTTCTAGAGCAACATGTAAAAAAGGCGTTCAAGGATTAAGACACATTCATGCAAACTATCTGCAGCATCTGGTAGAGGAAGTTTTTGGATGGTGAAGTTAGATATGCATGGGTGTGTTGTGATTCGTGTGAAATCGACGTTTATACAAAGTAATTGTTTCCATTATCATACCTTTTTCACAGTTTCTAGTTTTTTGGCCGGGGCAAACACCCATAATTAATATGTTTAAATCTTAGATCTTAATTTTTTGCGTATAGCAAAAAAAAAAAACAAAAAATGCAACTGTCTGAATTACCTTGCCGCTTAAAAAGAAATCTTCAACTGACGTATTTGTAATTTGCTCAATAATTTTCTTAGAATGAGCCAGACATTTCTTCAGATATTTTAAAATAGTTAGAAAACTAAAAAAAAATTAAAAAAAAATGAAAAAATCGTGTTTTTTTAGCAAAATTTATGCAAACTGTGTTCTTTAAACATTATTTGATGATAAAAAATATAATATGTAAATCTGCCCGTAAGTGAAGACGTGGTTTATATGCCAGAAACAAAATTCTGAGTAAAACATGATTTAAATTATTTAAGCGAACCACCAATTGAATGCCCTAATTAAAATTGTATGGTTAATTTGCTTAACGACGTGTTCTGGGTACCATCCAAACCATTTGTGGAATAGTTCAATGATTTGGGTTATCGTTCGTTTATGGTTATTTTTTATTAGGGTGTCGAAAACATCGTGTATAAAGCTATAATAATTGATGGAAGCGCTATTGGAAGCCATGTCGTTGATGTTTTTTTTTCATTAATTTATTTGATAAGGCTCAACCGAATTAACTTTAAAGAGGATTCTTGTTCACTATACAATACATCTTAAAACTATAGTCAAAAGGTACAACACAATAAACATTGTATCTTCCGCTAAGAGATGAACTAGCCTCAGGCTAAAAATCTCTATAATAAAGAAAAAAAAAAAAAAAAAAAAAAAAAATGTATCTTCCGCTATCCAATAAGTCTCCTCCACCAGAACGGGAGCCGCTTCCAGTGGTTTCATTGTATGGCAGATTCACCAATGTGGGTCAGCGCGCTTCCATTGCAGCAATGGACGCAAAACATGGTCATCACTCACACACTCATCACGAAACGGTTGCTTTCCAAAGTCGACGACGCATCGACCGAAAGAACTGCTGATGAAGAACAATGAGGAGGATGGTTGCTGCCGAGTAAACAGACGATCGCGTGACACACATTGAGAGTGGTTTGCTTCTGTCGACAGCCGAGATAACACTGGCCATGTCGTTGTGATTAATATTTTCCAGGAATTTGCTCCCAAAAATTGGATATTAGACAATATTTCATTTATATGGTATATTTTTCCGATTTTTCTATCCGCAACCCTCAAAATTCCGTTTTTCTGCAATCTTTTACCGTAAGGTCATGGATACAAATCATACCTACCACGTGATGCTGTTTTTGGCGATTTGACATGGGTGGCATAATAGCCATTTCTTTGTTTATGAGCAGAAATATTGTTCGTGTGACGGTTATTTTCGGTTAACTGACTAATCGTTGGATCAGGTTTTTTGACATAAGAACGGTGAATATGTAAACCCCCCTTGACTCCGTTGTTAGCACATGTAAAAATGTTGATACCCCTCTAATTTGGCCTAATGTTTTTCGACTTAATTCCCCATCCCTAACCAAACCAAGCCAATTAGCAAACGAAACACTCGTTATTGTATAAAAATAAGTGGATTAAATGGGAATTACTCAATCTTCTTCAAAATTCCTCCGTGTAGACAACCGTCCACACACATTTTTTGAATTTTGAATAGACACTTGACACTCGGCACTGAGTCCCTTCCCCCTTGAGTGTCTACGTGGTTTATGATCATCCCCAAAGGTATCTCATAAACAAAAAAAAAATACATTACTTTGCAAGAAAAAAACTGACAGATGTCGCCCCGCCCCGCCGGTATGGAGATTTTCGAAAAATCGGTAATTTTTCTTCAAAAATTGCTTCTTGCAGTACATTTTGTACATTTTAATAATAGCCAGAAATAACGTGTCGAAAAAATTGCACCAGTATTGATATTTTAAATTAAAAGTGAATTTCGCATTACATTTTTAAGTCGATTTTCCATACGACCGAATGCGGTTCGCCCTCTGGTGGTGAATACTATCAGAAGCAGCATGAAACACCTAATCAATCTTGTTTAATTTATAGAAATACTTAAGTAACTGTGGTAACACAGTAACAAACAGCAATAAATACACTTAGATTTGGATTTTGGCATCATGTACAGTGTATCTCAAAATTGATCGTACAGCAGTACTTAAATTTTAGAAAAAACGGCTTTAAAAGCACAAGTTAAAAAAATACATCTCTGAATTCTTGGCAGCTGACTCAGTATACGTCGGACATCGATTGTTATCCATTGACGGCAATCGAATGTGCAGGAAGGCAGCTTCCACGCCTGCATAGGATATCGCACCCATTCAAACACACATGGGCCGGGATCAACGAAGTTAATTTCCTTCCGAAGGAAGACGTGACCAGTAATTTTTATGCCTCAGAATTTGGGATTTTTGAGGGGATTAATCATGAAACTTATATCTCCAACGATGGAACAGGTCTTGTCCATCAACTTTGCTCAAGACATCATTATTTTAAATGCATGTTTTCATGGTACTATCAATTAAGAGCGTTGAAATAGAGTTTTATACCCAGGCTTGCTTCCACTCATTTGCATTTGTTTTCTGGAATAATGAAATCATTAGATGATATAATGATATGTTGTACTTGCAAGTAACAAGAAGCAGGTGAAAAGTGTGTGTTTGACTCATAAAACCTGTCAATTTCGCTTTCAGAGCGTCACAATCAGCGATCTTATGATTCGTGAACGTTCATTCAGAGTGAGCGCTCACGAATCGTAAAATCGCTGTTTGTGACGCACTGAAAGCAATATTGACAGATTTTATGTGTCAAATACATACTTTACGACCCCTTCTTTTAACCTTTTTTTTTTTTCTTTATTTGAGAGATTTTTAGCCATAGGCTAGTTCATCTCTTCCTTCTTTTAACTTTCAAGTACTAATAACCATTATAACATCTAATGATTTCATAATTCCGAAAAACAATTTTTTATAGCAAGTGAGTGGAAGCAACCCTGATTACACCTATGTGCATTGGTTACATCCGGCCATGATCCGGGTACCCCTGGGGATGTGACCAGTTCATGACTATGACCAAAACTCATCATGCGACACATAAAATTACCTCAGAATTTAGAAATAAGACCAACGGCAGCCATACCGAGTGCTTAGGATCACATTGGTCATATCTGATCATGTTCCGGGACCCCCGAGGAAGTGGCAATGGATTCATTCGGTGCACTTCTTTTGTTTTTGAGAAGAATGTATGTATATTTTCATATAATGCGTAGCATTTGAACTAAATTATCTATCGTATGATAGATTCGTTCACGTCGAAATCATTGATATAGGATTTGATGTTTCTGGTCGGATATGGGTGCTTGGTAGAGTGATGCAAAATTTGAAATTTTCACTCCACAATAATTAAACGATTCCAAATCGGATCCTGACTAACCTCTCAAAATTTGAACCCATTTGGTGAGAAACTGAGATGGCACAAACGATTTGAAGTTTGTATGGGAATCACTATGGTAAAAACAAAGATTTTTGTTCATGTCTATCTAATAATTCACCATATCGGTCTGCTTCAAAAACTTTCAACTGTACTTGTTGGAAATTTTTGATTAAATGCAAGGATCGAAAGTTATTAATGGTTCAATGCGCTGATGTCTTATGATCATGCTCAATCAACTGCTCAGCAGGCAACATTGGTGTTTCTTGAATAGGACACAAAAATCATGGCTACTATGTCACGCTGCAAAATACAGTGTTGCCTACAGAGCAGCTGGTTGATCATGTCATAAGTTTACCAATCTCTTAAATAATTAATAACTTTTTCCTGTCTCGTTTTACTTAGAAACAATCTTTAGCAAAGTTGTAGCTGAGAAAATTTTCTATAAGAATGGCTATCGAACTGTTCCGCAGCTCAATATGGAAAAAGACTAGAAGGCAATGAACAAAAAGTTGAGATTTCCCATAGTAATTTACATGTAAACTTCAAATGGCTTGTGCGAAGTCTGTTTCTAACCAAATGAGTTGTAACTTTGGGAGGCTAATCAGGACCCGATTTGAAACCATTTAAGCACTGTGGAGCGAAAAAGTCAAATTTTGCATCAGTCTACTGCTTGGTCGATAGGTCGGAAATGGCTGCTTACGCCAAAGTAGTTCCCTACCCTAGCTACTATCTGCTATCCCAACTAACAATTTTAGCTGCAGATCAGCTTATACAACCAAAAATTGGCTTATACAGCTAATTTTTGCCTGTATAAGCTAGTCTGCAGCTAAAATTGTTTATTGGGATGTCTAGGCAAATGACACTTCTTTTGCAAGAATTTATCCGGCTTTCAACTTAGTGTCTCTTAAATAAAGTTTAAAAAAAAATT